GGCATGGTTGGAGCTGTTGCTCATAATTTTTTTTTATTAATTCCTAGCAAATTGTAAACATCATTGTGAAGCCACAAGTATTCAACAAACTATAGCCATTTTAAGAAGAGAAGCTGCCATGCAGTATTCAATGTGCATCTTCCACGCCAAAGTAATGACTAATATTTAAGGATGAATGATTAACAGAATATTGGCCAAAAAAATGACTAACAGAATGGCAAAAATTTTGCAAATACAAGAAGAAGACAACTTGTCTAATTATTATTTCTTATCAAGTGTTCAGGTCTGATTCACACTTGAATTTAAGTTGATTATTTTTTGTTAAAGGACAATTAGATTGAATAATTTTACTCAAACCAAGATAGGTCCCAGTGATTAATAAACCAATAGCATTGGAATTCTGAATTTCTTTATGAAAATTAAAACACAAAAAAAATATTTTCTAGACAAAAGGAGAAAAAAAGACAAGAAGTTTTAAATAAACTATGATGTTTCCATAAACTTTCTTTCCAAATTCATAAGTACAATTACTTCTTGCATTTAAGCTTGGCCATCCAACTCCAAAACCAAAAGGTCAACAAGAAATCACATACTAAAAAAATAATGGATTTCAGAAACGATCTCACATATTCAACCCACCTTACATATAAGAGATATCTACCTTTGTTTCAGTTGTACAGACTACTCCAGATACTGGCAATTAGTGGTTGGGACCAAATGATTGCATTTAATTGTTCTGCAAGGATTTCTGGTTACCATCACAAGCTTGCAAAAATAGAAGAAATGATGAAAACCAGTTAATGGAGCATGGACCCTGCTCTTTCAATGGTCTGGGTCAAATTACTAAGACAATCAGTTCAAGCATTATCTGCCAAATTCTAAAAAAAGGAAAAAAAAAAAGAAAAGAAAAGAAAAAGAAAAAACCATTACAAACCATTTGATTGAGTTGCCTAGCACTTGACATATCATTGTTTTGAGGGAATCCCTGGATCATTGTATTATAAGAACAACTATCAGGCAAGTAGCCATCCCCTTCCATTTTCTTGAACAACTCAAATGCTTCATTTGGTAATCCTGCTTTACAAAGCCCATTAATTATTATAGTGTATGTGTGAAGACTAAGGTGTATCAGAGAAAGTCCACCAAAGAATTCCTTCGCAATATTGATCTGTCTAGCCTTGCACAAACCATCAACTAGGACATTATAATTGAAAATATTAAGTTGAAATTTCTTGTTCTGCATTGCCTGAAACAGTTCCAATGCTTCATCAGGTAATGCTGCTTTGCAAAATCCTTTAATCATTACAGTATATGTGTGGGCAATAGGCAATGGGCCTTTCAAAGAGAGTCCACCAAAGAATTCCCCTACAATATTGAGCAATCCAGCCTCAGACATACCATCAATTAGGAAATTACAATGGACAATATTAAAATGAAATCCATTCTTCTGCATCACTTGAAATAGTCCCAATGCCTCGCGAATGAGACCATTTTTGCATAAGACATCCAACAAAATCGAATAACTTGTCAAGTCTGGAACTTGACCATAAGCAACCATCTCTTTAATAGGTTCATTTGCAATCAAAAACTTCCTACTTGGCACATGCCCTTTATAAGAGTGCTATAAGTTATGGTCTCAAGTATTAATCTTGTATGAGACATCTCATGAAGGAGCTTCATCACCTCATCCATACTTTTAACCTTATAATATCAACTAATCATGATGCTGTAACTAATTACTGTAGGTATGTAACCTTTGCCAATTATCAAATCAAATACTTTTCTTGCTTCATCCATTTCACCACACAAACAATATCCTTCCATCAATGCATTATACTTATATGGGACAACGTCAGGCTCAACACCCTCCCCAATCATTGCTTTAATTACACCTTGAGCCTCTGAAAATATAACTTTTTTAGAATATGCATCTACCAAAATATTATAAATGACAACATCTTGTTTGATTTTGTTAAGGATCATCTCATTCAAAAAATTCTTAGCATCATCCCACTTTCCTGGTTTACAAATAGCTTGAATTAAGGAGCTGTAAGTGAAAGAATCCGGAAGGATGCCCTTACGTATCATTTCAGATAAGAGATTTACAGCCCTAGTTACAAGCCCATCTTTACAAAGGCGATCAATGATTGTGTTGTATATTATAATGTTAGGCTGCAAACCATATTCTCCCATCCTCCTTACCAACCCAACAGCCTCACTAGTCTTCCCTATTTTGCACAAACCATTTACTATTGTGCCATAAGTAATTAAATCAGGATGATATCCACTTCGAACCATCTCATCAAATGATTTCAAGGATTCAGCAACTTTCCCTCCTAGACGTACAGCCCATTGATAAGGGTACTAAGTGTTACAACATTAGGTTCAATACCAAGCTTTACATTTTCCCAAGAAAAGAGAAACCAAATCTGTAAGATGCGAATGACAGAAGCAATTAATCAAGATGCTAAAACTAAAAACATTATGCCAAATCCCTTCCAATTCCATCCTTTCACACAAGGAAACAACAACTGCATAATTCTTCCTTCTAACAACAGCACTTAACTATTAACAAAATTCCCCTGTAGGAGGACGAGGATACGAACCCACCAACCAATTAAACAAAGTCAAAGCATCATCAATTTATCGAACTCATATTTTCCATTTTTCTCTCTTGGATTTCATAAACCTAGTGCTGGCATTGGGAACAGTACTGAAAGAGGGAAAAATTACAGGAAGCTAATGACAAGAAAACATGGGATTTTTGCATTTATGATTTTACAAATTTCTGAACGGCGAACAGCAGAAGCTAACTCAGATGAAGTCGCCGGAGACGCAATTCCCAAACTTCTCATCGCCGATTTGAGAAGAAATAAAAAAAAACCGGGGAGAGAGATTTAAACGTCGCTTCCAAATTTATGTTTCTATTTTTTATTTTTTTATTTTTTTTATTTTTATATTGAGTGGCACAATAAATACATATAATTTGAAATCAAAAACTTTTATACCATATAACTACAAAAGTCGTTGGCTTAAATTTATATGTTATGTGGGATCAAATATATTATTATGAACAATATAAATAAATGGGTGTTTCATTTTTTTTTTTTTCATCTTCTAAACTTTATTTATTAAATCACTAGCTTTTGTCTATTGAACTAACTTTTATTCATTGAATTACTAGATTCATAAAACTAGTAAGTTATATTCAATATTCCACTTAATTCATGAATCTTTAAATAAGTTTATTCAGGTAACTTTCACTCTCCTAATTTACATATAGGCTTGCATTATATGGAGAAGAAATATAAAGTGAAAGAAATAGAAGAATAGAAAGCTACTTCTAAAGTATTCTCATTTGACATACTTTAATTCTCTTCTTATCTCATTATCTTACCTTATTTTTGCACATATTTTTACTTCATCATACTCAGGTATCACTTACTTTATATTTTTACTTCATCATACTCAGGTATCACTTACTTTATAACATATACCCCCTTTTTCCTTTTTCTTTTTTGATTTCTAGCTGGTCGTAAACTTTTTTATGTAACAAATAGTCCCAAACCTTTTCATCACTATCAATTAAGTCCTCCGTCAGTTCGCCATGAAGCATCAAGGCTCAAGCCATAGTGAAAAAGTCAGACAGAAAAAATGAAAAAGTATTGTTTATGTCAGACTACACAATAATTTTAATAAAAAATCTTTAACAAACTCTTCTTTATGCTATCTCATTATTAGCATTTTATTAATTTGAATGCATTTATGCTGTTATGATGTTTTTGCGATGTGGATGAGTGTGGACTTATGTGGATCATACTCATCCAAGGGTTGGATTTTGCAATTTCGCATAAAAACAGCAAAATTTATTCTCATTAGTGTCATATATTATGTTGCTGATTCTAGTGACTATTTTCATCTACCAAAACAAAGCAGAGCAATTAAAATGTAACTTACAAAGTTCATTAGCAATTATTTTTAAGAGTGAGTATGGTGGTTAGAGCTTTAAAAGTTGGTTTTTCTCCATTTTAAGGAGGTAAAACTCCTTCTTAGGTTAGTTATTAGGGGTTTCTCCTCTTTCTAGTTTCTGTTTTTCTTACTCATGTGGTGTATTTCTCCATGGGATCTTTTTTTACGAACCAATAACATATTTGGGGTGCCAAATTTGGTAGTGGTTCAAGGCAATAGTATGGTGGCCCAAAACATGGTTTGCTTTTCTATTGGATTCTTTCATGGAGGAGGAGCGGCCAATGAAGATACCTAGGATGGCAGGGCAATGGCTTGCAATAGAGAATGAGCAACAGGTGGTTATGGTGAACAATGGGTGGTGGTTGCTGATAGAGGTGGTTCGTTGAGAATAAAGCGATGGCTTGGCTTGAAGTCAGTGGGAAAGAGGCGACGAGTTCCATGGAATAGCACTACACAATTTTCTCCAAAAATCCCCAAAATGGTCAACCAATAATTTACAAATCTTGGGGTTCTTGAATGGAAATTTTAGGTATGATGAGAATCTATACAATATTAGTGAGACGCAAAAGTAAGTCAAGGGAGAAAAAATAGGGAATTTTACCATTCTGCAAAACCTATGTTAAACCCTTGAATTGACCCCATATTTTTAATTGAGTCCCTAGACTTTTTTTAAAGGCAATAAACCCCCCAAACCTCACGATTTATGCAATTTTGCCCATTTCCTAACGTTGAACTATAAAGTTGTAGACAAAGAAAAATATAGAAGAGGTAAAAATTGCACAAAATTTGTGAGATTTAGGGGATTATCTACTTTTAAAAAAATTAGGGGTTTAATTCAAGGGCTTGGTGTGGGGTTTTGCCTTCCTTTTATGTTAGGATTGTAATGGTTATAAATCCCATGAGAGATGTTGAATAATAATTTTATTTAGATTTATTAGAATAAGAGCTGGTAGTGTCAAATTTTTTAGAAGTTTTTGGTATTACTTATTAAGATATTAGAATAATTATAAGAAATTTTAACAATTATTTGGTGGGATTAATGACAAATGTGTCATACCCCGTTCTTCCTACTATTAATCTTGTATTTATGATATTTTATCAATGAAGTTTATTAAGCACTAAACAAAAAATTTTGCCTTTAATAGATTATAAAAATAAGGAAAATCAGCATATTTTGTCAATGAATTGTTTGCTTTTGCCTAAGGATAAATGATTTCCTCTTTATTTGATAGGAAATTATTTTTGTACAATCTTTTTGTTTTACTTTTTTGTACAACCTGACGTGTCATTAAAATGATTGATTCCTTTAATTCATGTATGACTCATGATATTGAATACATCTACTCATTTAATAACATGTGAAAGTTGTATGAAATAGTAGTATAAAAAGGTTGTTCCTATAGTACCACCTTTATTTTATCTCACATAAATGGATATGGATATGTATTTAACCATAAAAAAATTTCATTGTTAGTGAATAGGTTTGCCCCTGTTTAATTTGTTGGTTTAAAGAAACCTCTTAATCATACAGTGTAAGAAAATAGATCCAAAATTAATATGGGAAGATATCTCATGCCTAAAAATGCAAAAGCAAAACAACAATTAAAACTTGACGGCCACCAAAAAAAAAAAAAAAATGCAACTTGATGGAGAAGTTCAAATATATAGCAATTTTAGAAACAACTCAGGACAGTAATCATCAAAAGACAAAGAAATGCTAGGAGGACAGATGGCAAGAGCAGAACAAAAATTCTAATACACTAACATTGAAGATCAATGATGTAAACTTAGAAAACAGATCGAAACAGAAACTCAAAAGGTTCAAGCAAGTGAGGAAACCATATCCAGTCTTGAATGATCAAATTAAAGTAACAATAAAAACTTAAAATCATCATCCCTCCACAGTCCACACAGTTCATAAATTTTTTGGAATTTGCCGAGCAACATAAGAAAAAGGTTTAAACCCAAATTTTGGTTCCTCAACTTGGTTCTTGAACTTTTTTTCGGTCCCTAAGGTTAATTTTCTCAACTGTTTTTAGTTGTTAAGTAAACTTTTTTAGGTTTTAAGTAAACTTTTTACTGTCATGACATGCTAACTAACAAAAGAAAAATGATCTGGAATTGATTTTTTTGTATAATTTTTTATAATTTGAACTTATTATTAAATAGTGTATATAATATTATAAAATATAATAAAATAAAATAACTCATTAAATAAAATGTAAAATTATATAAAAAAAAATTGTAAAAAAAAAATTCTTTCAACCATTTTTGCCTCGCTAAACATTTTTCCTAATGAAACAAGCTTATTTTTTCTTCACAATAATGATGTACAAATGCCTTGTTGCGAAAATGATGAAGTGCTTCGATTTTGTTGTCCACATCTTGTTTAGTTAAGTACATAATTACCATTATACCTTCTTATGTCTTCTCAGTAATTAAATTGTAAGGACATTACTCCTTGTCCACATCTTCTTCACTTATTTCTTCTCCTCTTTCTTCCTCCTCCTCGATCAAATTCCTCACTTGCATAGAATTTTGAGCATGGCACACAGCACAAGCGGTCCCAAAAAAGATGCAAATTAAAAGACACCAGAAATGTGTTTCAATACAAGAAACAGAACCAGAATAGTAGAATACATTATATTAAGCTCCAAGTACTAGCAGAACAAAACCTTTCCTCTGATTACATTTTCTTGGTCCCTTTCCTTAAATCTAGACATGTGAAATTCGATACAAAAACACTGACAACATCAATACATGGAAATAGAAAGGGGATAGGAATGGAAATCCAAACAGCTCAAGTGAGGCTGTTGAAGACAAAGCTATGGCTACAAAATTGATTAATCACAGCCTTTGCCAATACCCAATATACTCATAATATCCTAATATATATAAGTTTTCATTTGTTGGATGCACGTTAGAGGGGTCCTTTCCGTCAATCCAGTATGCATTTACATACCATATTCCAAGATTATCTACCCATATACATAGCTGTTCACCATTCCACTCTCAAAACCTATAGTATGTCAAACAAGAAGTGGAAAGAGCAATCGTTGACTATGATAAGGAGGCCTCTTCTTTGCAGTTGGAACATCGTGAACTCAGATTGGAACCTGAGCCCTTCTTATATATATAAAAAGCCCTGCTTGAGCTTAAAAAAGATTTAAGTGGCTCTATCTGAACTTCCATTCTTCCTCAATTTTCTCACTCCTTTCCTGCAAAACCCCTGCTTGAGCTTAAAACAGTTCAGCTTTTGTGTTTCTTTAAATTATTTTGATTTTCCTTCATGCCTCTTAGGCTTGTAGTCTTCTTTATCTGCATTAATTTCCATTTGCCATCATCTAAGAGTTCTGTTTCCTTCTCTTCCCATTCTTGGTAGGAGATAAAAGTAGAATACAAAGTAAGACCCTGCAGGATTAATTAAAGCAAATAACTTAACAAGTAAAAGGAAACATAATTTCATAATTAAACATTTTTAACTGCCACAATTTAACAACCAACTGCCAATCTCAAGGGAGAAAAAAATCAATTTACTCCCCACATCCCCGAGAAAGGACCACAGAACACTGTCCATAGAGACATTTTTCTCAAGTTGTTCAGTCAACACCAGCTCCCCTTTTATTTATTAACATGAAAAGCCATTAAAATGCCAAAATATAAATGGTATGGACACAAAACTAGAAGGAAGAAGTATCAAATTTCATTCCATTCCAAGGGGTAGAAAGAAAAATTATTATAGTAGACAGATTTCCAGAATAAATGTAGCTTAATATTGTTCCCAAAAGCTGTATTCTCCATCTACATAATTAGGAAGACTAACCATGAATATGTGGTCGGCCATTAGTGCAAACATGTTCCAGTGGCTTTTCTATTATCTTCACTATTGAAGAAATAACCTACCAAAAGAAGAATCATATGTGATCTTTCGCATATGGTAAGAGACACTGAGTGAACAGAGAAAAAACAAGAGCAGATTAAACACTGATTTTGGCATTTCATCACAAACCTTTAGGGAATTTTAACTCAATAGCAAAACCACCAAAGAATCTAATCAAGCACAAGAGTTCTGGAACTCTGCAAGCAAAGAACACCAAATAAATGACAAAGGACAAACCACATTTGCATTTTTTAACTGCTTAACTATTGAGGCCTGCAGAAAATACCCACAAGAATAGGTCTCAAAAAATTGCAACTATCTTCTGTTTTTCCAGAGGTGGATTACCAACTATATAAAAATAGAAAAGGAAAATAACGAAAATAACGAAAATAAGAAAAAGAAAATGATTCAAATTACTTTTTCTCAAGCAAGCAATTGTATATGACTTTTTATCATTAAATGAACGCAGGCAACAATGGCAAAAAAAAGTAACTTTTAGATTGTTTACAGAATTACTTGCAATTAAAAAAAAAAAAACAAAATCTAGAGCAACAGATAGAAGAACTAAAAATATAGAACTTCTTTCATATCAAACTTGTAGAGCAAAAAAATTATTTTCAAATGAAATTGGTGTTCTTAGCAACAATATTGCAGTATTTGCTTTATCCCTTTAATCAAGACAATCAAATGGTTAGAGCATATTGAATTCGAATGCAAATTAAAACACTAGAAAGAACAATTATGCAGAAATGGAAAGAGGATAAAAATTGAAAACCAAGAGTTCAAGCCAGTGAGAAAACTATATCCACTATCAAAGTAAAGAGGGAAACTTATAATTAGTATTCTGCCCTATGGTTGAAATCCTAGGACTTGCTGCAGCAACCATGAGAAGAAAAGAAGTCACTTTACATCTGCTCCAGTAATCTCTTCACGTGTATCAACTCTTCCACAAGTTGATTTATCTTTTCCATCACTCAGTAATAGATCCACTACCATGGCTGATGTAGATGCATCTGCAGAAAATCCATTATCAACCATTTGATCAATTAGCTGCCTTGCCCTTGAGATATCATTGTTTTGAAGAAATCCTCGGATCATTGTATTATAACAGCCATTATCTGGCAAGCAGTCATCCTCTTCCATTGTCCTGAACAACTCGTAAGCCTCGTTTGGTGCTCCTGCTTTGCAAAGTCCTTTAATCATTATATTATATGTGTGAACACTAGGACGTAACCCTTTCATAGCAAGTCCAGAAAATAATTCCTTTGCACCAGTAATATGTCCAGCTCTGATCATGCCGTCAATTAAAACAGTATAATGGACAATGTTAAGTTGAAATCCACTTCTTTGAATTGCTTGAAACAATTCCAATGCCTTATGAATATGACGGTGTTTGCACAAGCCATCTAGCAAAATTGAATAAGTCATTACGTCTGGAACTTGACCACAAGCAACCATCTCTTTAAAAAGTTCATGTGCAGTATAGAGCCTTCCTACCTGGGACATGCCCATTATAAGAGTATTGTAAGTTACAGTATTGGGGGTTAAACCTCTGTCAGACATCTTGTGAAAGAGCTTCACAGCCTCATCTACCATTCTGGCCTTACAGTATCCATTGATCATGATGCTGTAGCTAAATACATCAGGAACATATCCCTTGTTAATTATCAAATCAAATACTTTTCTTGCCTCATCCATTTCTCCACGCAAACAATATCCATCAATTAATGCATTATATATGAAAATATCAGGCTCAATGCCTTGCTTAATCATTTCTTTAATCAGCTTCTGTGCATCTGACACCATACCCTCCTTGGAGAATGCATCTACCAATATACCAAAAGTGCAA